TTGTACAATTCATTTGCTATCGTGGAGTTCTTGTTATGGATAAAAAAGTGTCTTATTTTTGTTTCAAAATAGCTGATAACTATTCGCTGATAGTTGCCAACATCTGCGAACAAATATAATTCTATAAAGTGGTTCTATATCGTGTGTAACTGTTATTATAGAAAGTTATTAAATTTATTGCTAATGCAATTGTATGACACATTGACTTCTGAGGAAATTTTAGATGCACTCATCATCGGAAAGGTTTCCGACCCCTGGACTACACTTCTCCAGTCCGAACGACATTCCGATGTCAGTGCTGTATGTCCTGGTGGTGTGGATCACTTTGTTTACTCTTGGTATACAGCTTGATGTCATCCATGTACATGACGTGGCTGTAGCCAGTCTTGTCAATGATCTCACTTGGGGGGTTCAGGCCTATGCAGAACATTGTGTGATCTACCAAGGCACAGCTCCTTGGTAGATCCCGCACTTGATGGTGACTTGTGCTATGGGCTTGAAGTTGGCCTCTAGTGTTGTACGCCACATCCCCATTGAGTTCCTGATGAAGGTTCTTAGGGTCCTGTTGATCTTGTATAGTTCTAGGCATTCCAGGATCCAGGTGTGGGGCATTGAGTCATATGCCTTCTTGTAATCAATCCAGGCAGTGCACAGGTTGGTCAGCCTGGTCTTGCAGTCTCTGGCAGCTGCTCTGTCTATCAGTAGCTGGTATTTTGTGCCTCTGGTATTCTTGCCAAATCCTTTCTGTGCCATGTACTGACCCATGTACCTGTTCATCTTAGCCGCTATGATGCCTGACACAGGCTTACATGTGGTACTCGGGCAGATTATTGGTTGTTAGTTGGAAGGGACCGGGCCCTTCTGGGGGTCCGTGGGGATCAGGACTGTCTGGCCTTCGATTAGCCATTCCATGTGTCTCTAATCAACTAGCAGCTCGTTCACTTGTACTGCCAGACACTCAGGGAGTAAGTAAAATTTTATTTATACAACACATTTCTAGATAAAAGATCACAAAGTGCTTCACAAGGTATAAAACAAAACAGACAAAAGTTAACAAAATGCAATTCTAAAAAGATGTGTTTTTAGTTGTTTTTTAAAAGTGACAGAAAGGTGCAATAAAAAAGGTGCCTAAGGAGTACAGCAAGCTTCAGTCTGCAGATCTTAAGTTCAGAGGAAGAGAGTTCCACAGTCGACCACAGTGGCAAAAGCTCTATCACCCTTGGTTTTCAGCCTTGTATGCTGAATAACAAGTAGGCCCTGACCACAAGACATCAGGGACCTAATAGGGACATAGAGCTGTAAAAGTTCAATGATGTAGGCTGGTGCTTGTCCTTGAAGAGCTATAAATTGCACTTGGGGTTCGGTACCCAATCTCAGTTGGGGGTGATGATGACTCCCCCTGACCTGTCATCCTGGCTCTCCCTTGCCATAGCATACGTGTTGTACCTTGTCAATCCTCCATGAGAGCAGTCCGTTCTTCCAAATATTGGAACACGGAGGTACTAGTTGATTTGCCATCAATGTGGATGCTGGGTATCGACGATTCCATAGTTCCACCATCCTGTTCCTATAACCCCTTCCGCTGGGGTTACTCACGTAGTAGCATTCCAACAGTGCCCTATTTTTTTTCCTCTTGCCCACCGATGCCGTTCCAGTAGCCCACTTCCAATCATGGTGCCCTGGTTCCTCAACACCTGACCCTGCGGTCCTTGTCCGGGCGACGTCCGAGCTGGTACGATGGCTTCATATTTATCTCTCTCGCTCATCCCCCACATTCAGACACTCGTACATCATACATGCCAGACTTGTTGCTATAAAATAGTCACTTGAATAAACTAAAATACAAAATGAAATACAAAATATTGATAAAAATAATAACAATAACAACTGTGTGAGAATGATAGATAATTAAAACCTTAAACTAAAACACTACCACGACTGTTGATTGAGATATGTAATGTACATATCTCGATGATCATCACTTTCGTTTTGGCTACGTTTAGCACCAGCTTGTTCTCTCTACACCAGCCCACAAGGCGTTCAACTTCTCTCCTGTACACTTATTCATCGTTTCCAGAAACCAGTCCTACCACTGTGGTGTCATCTGCAAACATAATTAGGTTCCCCTCATATCTGGATACACAGTCGTGTGTTATCAGTGCAAACAACAGTAGGTTGAGAACACAGTGGGGTTTGGAGATGGTTTTTCCCAACAAGGACAGACTCAGGTCTGTAAGTCAGAAAGTCCAGGATCCACAGTTCGTGTTCAGGACAAGTAAGAGGAGTTTCTCAGTTAGATTCTGTGAAGTAATGATGTTAAATGCTGAGCTAAAATCAATGCATAGGTGTCTTTGCGGTCCAGATGGATGATAACGGAATGTAAGGTGGATCTTGCATACTTTGTGGAGCAGTTGGAATGATAAGCAAACTAGAGCGAATGTTGCAGGAAGGCTAGCTATGATGTAAATGGACTGGTTCTTATATAGCGCCTTTCTACTCTTCTGAGCACTCAAAGCGCTTTATATAACTTGTGCATTCACCCATGGATATTTGGCATGCAGACTAGGGGAAGCAAGGAATTGAACCACCAACCTTCCGATCGGTAGATGACCTGCTCTACCGCCTGAGCTACAGCCACCCCGATGTGTAGCTTGATAAACTGTTGAAAACATTTCATCACAATTGGCGTCAATGCAATGGGATGGTAGTCATTTAGACAGCATATGGGGTTTTTTCTGGATGTTTTGTCTGTAGCTCATTGATGGCGTTGTGTACCCCTCCAAGTGACTCATTAGCAGTGGCCTCGGTATTAGTGCTGGGCGTTATGTAAACAGCAGCTGTGATAACAATGGTAAATTCTCTCGGCGGGTAGAATGGCTGGCACTTCACAATGAGAAACTCTGCCACATTAGTCACACAACACTGCACTCAGCTGCCATTAACACATGAATTTTAATATAAATTAATATAGATGCACAGACCTCCACCTGGACT